AAAACATTGAGGATAATTTCGGAAACCCATATCAGACTCTCGCCTACTGTAGTAATTGTATATGTATATATCTAGGAAATTTGCTCTTCATTCATTACTCATTTAAATAGCCCCCATAATTCAGAGATTTCTTAAAAAGTTAGGAATACCCCAGCTACATTCCAGCAAGTAAAAAGTGCTGCCGCTAGTACCCAATCCAAACAAACATGTACTGAGAAGCTTGGAAAAAAAGATACCAGTTGCTCTATATTTTTGTAAACTTAAGAAGCTAGAGGGCGCGTATAGGGCCACTCTTGTTGGAATCGGATAAGGTAGCCGCGGTGAGGCTAAGAAGCTCTGGTATTTCCTTCAACCCTTCGGGAATCCTTGAAAACTGTGACGTTATACAGTCGGCGCTGTACCAAACCCGGACATGCAAATTTGCAAAGTCTTTTTAGTCGGTGATCGATCGCGAGCGCACGAAGAAACTTCTGCTGTACGCTGGCCTTTAGGAACCCATACAGGGTGACTTAATATAGAACATAATCCTTATTGTCGCCACTTTTTCGCACCAGACCAAACAGGAAGCTTAAAAACAGCTTTGAATGCTTGCTTTTGAAGAGGCCAACTTTGATTCGAAACCTATTTTAAAGTAAACAAGTATTTTTTTTATTTTAGTAAGAAAAACTTATTTATTTATGCTTTTTTTTTTTGAAAGCAAGGCAATTCATTTTCATTTTTATTTCTTACGCTTAAACTAACCTGCTGGAAAACTGTTTCATTAAGCAATTAAAGAAGNCTTTTTTTTTTTTGAAAGCAAGGCAATTCATTTTCATTTTTATTTCTTACGCTTAAACTAACCTGCTGGAAAACTGTTTCATTAAGCAATTAAAGAAATTACCAGTCAACCAAAAAACATCAATTACCAACTATTTTGTTATCTAACTAACCAAACTTAATGCGATTTCTTGTTAGCTAAGATCGTGCGCCTAAGCTTATGCTACACATTAGGATTGTACAATATTTTAATAAATTTTATGGCATACTTTTATGGTCACATATTTTTTCGGTATGCAAAAGGTACTTGTATTTTAGATTGCCAAAAGCTATGCATCGATTTGAATACTAGACTCATTTTTGCTATTCCTACTCTTAAAGTCTACTTATGTACCTCGCTGCCTTTTCATAATGTCGTTCGCTGTACGGTTTGCGCGTCATAATAATTCACAGGCCGCGATAACAATTTCGCGGGTATAGTTTTTTGAAGACGCAATTCGCGCTCGAACATTAGCGACTTCTCTCTAACATTCGATACCACGGGCGGCGAACTGACGTCAGCATCGTCGAGAAAACCAAAAACATCGTCCACCATCTGCACATCGATGTAATTATTGTTATCGGGCGTTTTTTGTGCTTTTAACTGCTTGTCCGCTTCCAAAGCTGAAATAGTCACCCTTGCTGGGCTAGCCACCCCGCCACCATTCATGCCATTTGCGATATTCTGACCATTCATGTAATTTACGGCGTAAACGCCATTTGTAAAGCTTACAGCGCGTTGTCCATTCAAAGCGCCATTCATTGGCGCTTGAACTGCGCCTGGTATACCAGCAGTTCGTGGCGCTGGCGCCATCACAGCCGTCGCTGTTGTCGCGTGCGCAGCTGCAGCTACCATTTTAGCACTGTGCCGTGCTTGCCGCTCCCTCTCCGCCTGCTGATGTTCTTTGGCCTGTCGCACCAGCTGCTCCTCGTCAGCGCGCAACGCGAGCAGCTGCTTTCGACGCTGCTGTCGCTCTGTATAGCGCGCCTTAAACGCCTGACGCGCCAAGTAGCCGCGGCAATAGGCTTGTAAGTGTATCAAACGTGAGCGCAGCATTTTGTACTCAGATGCCAAGCGTTTTTGTGCGATGCACGCGCCCAGTCGATGGAAACCTTGGCGCATGATGAGAAACTTACGTCGCTGCTTGTAGCCACGCCACACTTTTTGTATTGTGAGCGCTGCCGCGCGGTAACGCTGCAGCTGGCGACGAAAGAGCACCCGCCGTAAGCCGCGTTGTATGGTTATAATCGATTGTAATACTTTGCGCGCGCGCTCCTTTTCCAAGAATGTGTCATCTATGTCTTTTAGAAAAACTTTATGCCGCCCGAATTGGTAATCAGCTGTAGCGGGCAGTAACTGCTTGCAGATCTGTTTGGTGATTTGACGGCAGTCGATGTCGGGCGTGGGCGTGGGTGCGATTGCGGGCAACAGCAAGCGGTAGCGCTCGACGAAGTCCTTATAGCTGTGGCGTATGGGATAGCCAGCGTGACGTATACGTGCCGTCTCCATCATGCCGGAGTAGCGTAGCTGACGCACGCATAGCTCGCGGTCGAAAAGCTGTAAAATATGAAAGTGAAATTAGTTTATTCTCGATTAAAAACAAAAAACTGCTTTATGCTTTATGCTCACATTAGGTTTCTTATCCTCATTCGGTTTAATACAACGTATAAAGAACGGGTGCGCTGCAGCGAGTGTACGCATAAGCAGGTCCAATGAATTGCGGAACTTCACCGACAACGTCAACTGTTTCTTTATTGTGTCGTAAGGCATTTCCATTGGAAAGATATCGACGAGAAATTTATTTTTAGATTTACCAATCATTTCACGTAAATCCATGCTGAACGAATCGCGATTCTTTTCCAGAAATCCATTCGGGTTGTACATCACTACGCCAGCATAGTGGCGTATGCCAAAGAGCGAATCTTGATTGGATTTTGGTTTCACATA